GGACTTTCCGCTAATCTTTCTGCTTAGCGGCATAGGAGCAGCAGGGAGCTTGAGGAATGACCGAGTTTGCTGCTACTGCCTGTTCTGTCTCTATGCGAACACATCTGCTCCTAAGATTTGGGCGAGTTTTAAGTTTTCCTGATCCTACAAACGTGTTTTAGAAGGCCTGGTGCTATCTTTAGCCCTGTGTTTATTCCTCACATCCTCGCACGTAAGCTGAAAAGCAGCACTGCTTGGACTGTGGGGAAAAGCGAGCATTTACACAATCCTAGAGCATGCAGTAGCTTCTGTACTTGCCAAAGGACAAATCGGATTTTATTTAGGCTGGAAGATAGCGGACGTGCACCAGGCTTCCCCTGCATAGCTTGGATCAGAATCTGACCCGCCTGGAGAAGAAGTAGACATTGATCCCCCCCACCCAGGGCTCGTCGTCTCGGCGCACCCTGCGCTCCCCACGGGCCGGCGGAGAGCTCGCGGGGCATCCGCATCACTGGCTTTTCCTCTTGCTCCGCAGCTTTTTGAAGGCAACATCCACTACGACATCCCCGAAGTGCGGAGGTTCGACCCCGTTCCTGCCCAGTACGTCCGAGTGCACCCGGAGCGGTGGTCCCCGGCGGGAATAGGGATGCGCCTGGAGGTGCTGGGCTGCGACTGGACAGGTAGGAGACCCCGCTCCCCTCCGCCGCCGCCTCTCGGGCATGGGCCGAAACGGGGAGCCAAAGGCTGTTTCTCCCTCGCCGCCGTCCCTCCAGCTTGAAAAGAAAGCAAGTGCAAGGCTGGCCTCGATGCAGGCGGCAGCAGCAACTTGGGCCCCAGTCCAGGTGTGCCCGAGGAGCCGGAGGCAGGATTTGCCCCCACCTACCCTCTCCCCTCTTTGAGGTCTTTTCTCTGGCGAGGCCAAGAAATCCTTCCTCGTGGCCTTACTGTGGGTGAGAGTCGTCCAAAAGCAGGACCAGAAGGAGCCCCTCTGCTAGTGGGCCTTCTAACGCAAACGGATGAGGCGCGAAGCGGGAAGCTTCGGTGACCGCGCCGTGTCTCCCGAGCTGCCGCAGCATGGCTTTGCCGTTAAAATAGCTGCTCTTCTGCCTTCGGACCCCAGGTGGAAATCATATCGCAGATGAGGTTGCGATGTAGGGCTGCAACTTCCCTGAGACCAGGGGACCGTGTTCGCTTTCGCCCACCGGTTTTTCACAAGTGAAACATGTTGCAGCCACCATTACTTTTAATGCAGAGGTGAAAACTGTCTTGACACTCTCTGGGATCAGTAGAGGTGGTGCCTTGCCCTGCTGAGTCTCAGTGGTGGTTGATTGCTCCATAGTTTCATCCCAAAAAGCCAGAAATGAGCCCAACAGCTCATTCTGTCTGATGCTAGCTTTTCAGTGCCAGGGGCTAATTGTCCTTTGTTGTTGTTGTTGTTGTTGTTGTTTAATAGTTTGCTTAAATCTGAATCTGGTCTCCAGATGTCAGTGATAAAGAAAGAGGTATAATTTCCATTTTAAAAACGCATCTGAAGAAGGCATTTCCTTGTAAGAATTCCCGTTCTAGGAAGCTTAAAAGACATGGAGCTTTTCTCCAGCCTTTCCTGGAGTCTCTCGCACCCTTTTCCGCCCGTGATGTGCTGTGAGATGCGTTACGGGTATTTGACAGCAAAGCGTGAAACACACATACACGCGATCATCAGTGGTACTCCATCACCTTTGAGGTCAACGGCAAATCTCCCCCTGAACCGAGAATCCAGTGTAAACGACCTAAATCAAGATTAGATCCTTTTTTGTTTTTCCGTGTGGGCTGTTGCAGGAGAAACGGGTGTTGTGGGTTTGCTGTGAGCACCACGGGCTGCTCCTCGGCGCAGTGGCAGCTGGGCAGTCCCCACGTTGCGGCTTGCCGCCGCCGTGTCGGCCCCTCCGGCGCACTTCCCCGAAGCAACGGGGTTTGGCTTCCTCAACTTCTTGTGCTATTTGTGGTCCAAATTCTCCTTTACGGCTACGTTCCCCTTTGGTTTCCGTATCAGCAGCACCAGCCCATGCGTTTTCCAGGCAGAGTGCTTGATGGTCCTTTCCCAGGGTGGACATCTCATCTTGTGCACGTTGCGATGTTTAAAACTCAACAGCCAAGAGATTCGTAGCTTTATTGATTTACAGGCATTCGGCTTTGTAATCAGAGCAGGGCTCGTAATCCTGTGGCTTCGCCACGTTATAGAGAGCGTTAATATCCCTAACGCAACCTGAGGAGCAGAGATAGCCCGCGGCTTTATCCGCACGCTCCGGCCGGGCTGGCCGCGCGCGCCGGTCCCCCGATGGAGCCAAGACCCGGCCCTCTCCGCTGGGAGGCCCCAACACGTTGCCAGGCTGGCGCCAGAGACCCAGGCTGTCGCGCTTCCTTGGGAACAAGACCAAGAGACAGATTACAGCACGCCGATTGCAAATGTTTTCACGTGAGAGCCTAAGCCCTGGTGCCCCTGCCCAGCCGCTTCCATTTCTCATCAGGCTCTGGCAACTGCAGTTACCGAGTCGAACAGGTACCTCACCGCGACTGGGCTCGCAAGCTAGTTGGCTAGTAGCTCAAAAATCCTGAAGCAACCGGCTTCTCTCAAAGACCTGCCAACATTTTTCCTCTGAAGAGCGGAGATTGATGAATGTTCGCTTGCAGCTGGTTTTCTCTGCTTTGAAGTTCCAAACATCTGGTTCCAATTGCGCCGTAACTTTGCGTTTTGATCGGCAGTTACCACCAGTTGCACAGACACTCGCTGGGCCAGGGAGCGAGAAAGCGAGCAGGAGAAACCTCTCTTTTTTCACTTTCCTTTTCACACATCACACTGTCCTCCCTGCTATTTTCGTTATCCCTTGTAACCCTCTCGTTGCGGCTCTGCCATGGCAACTGATTTTTCAAGATGTATTTCCAAGGCTTGTCCAGGGCAGCATAACACTGCTGATTTACATCCGCTCAGCATCTGGGTCCCGTATGGGACTTAGCTTTCAAGGTCCTTCCACGTCGTGAAATATCAGCTATAAATCTCAATATACAAGAGCAACAACACACCAAAAAAAAAAAAAAGAAGTGCCAGCTCCAAATAACTTGCAGCTTTTGATATGCTGCCTTCACCTGCTGCTTTTTTTTTTTTCTTCTTTTCTTTTTTATGACCTTTTTCTGTGCCTGGCTGCTTGCAATTTGCTTCTTGGTTGCATTTGGAGTTTTATGGGGTTGTAACAAATTTGAACTTACAAATTAAAAGACTTTGAGGTTATTTGGTAGTTTACCATGAACAGAAGACAGCCGCTGGGAGGAGGGGGGAAGAGAGTTTATGTGCAACGTGCTTAATAACGGCAAAATAAAAGGGGGGAAAGGAGCCTATGGAAAATACTCAGTGTATTTAGCCATTTCCTTCTGCTTCTGGCTTCATTAAATGACATCCTGGAGGGTGCCGACAAAGAAACACAATCGCCCATAACTGAGCAACCTCTTTAAGAGTGGAAAGCGTAAAGCCTGCTGCACTCAGCTAACACACCCGTAAAAGGAGAGCAGGCTGGAACCTGATGTCGTTTAATGTTGGTCTTAATATCCTTCTCTTTCTTGTTTAAATTTCCCCTGACACCTACTTGGAGGTTGTTTCACATGGGCCATGGCGGAGAGAGGGAAATTGGACAGAGACGCTTTAAAAACGTAGTCAGGAGCCTGCGGCGTGAAACCAGATGCTCTCTGCAGCCGAGCCAGCGCGCGCGAGGGACTCTCTGGGTCCATCGGTGGTTACGTCATGTGTGGGTTTGAGTGACTTGTTTCGTAAATTGGCACAATCGGTGGGAATGTTGTGTGTTTCTTCTGCGAGTTATATGCCTCTATGAAAGAAAAGGATGCTCTGCCTGTGGTCTCCGTTATCCGATACTGATAGCCAACTGGATTGCCAGTGCCAGTGTAGATGGAGAGATTAAGAACAAGAAGTAGGACGTGTGTCTAGAGGAGAGCCCTGTCCAGTGGGGGACTCTAAATCAAAGGAAGTCCCATATGGAAAAGGCAGTTAGTTCACATGGAGTTCAAGCCCTGCTGACACTTGTAGCACATGGAAACTTCGTGGTGTTCTTGTCCTATCTCTTCCTGGCCCTCTACGAACGCGAGAACAAAAACATTACGCTATTTCCTCCCACCTGGGGTTTTTGTAGCGTCCGTCCCAAGCATTGTCTCTGCTCCATGTTTTGCAGATGTGAAGCCCACTGCAGAGACGCTGGTGCCCACTCTGAGTAGCGAGCTGACCACCACCCCCTACCCAACTGATGAAGAGGCAACGGAGTGTGGCGATAGCTGTGGAGAAGAGGAGGGTACGTATCAGAGCAGCTCATCTTTATTGCAATAAATGATGGGTTAAGAGCTAAGCAAACACTCTTATCTTCCCATTTGCTCCTATACATGGGGCTGATTCCTGGAAAGCTTTGAGTAATATCGTTAGTGATAGGCCAAGCTCAAAAAAGCCCCCAGTCAAAATCTGATAAGTTTTATCAAGGAAGGATGCAAGAGCAAGAGATAGCAGCTAATTCAATGCCTAGGGTACAGGACTTGAAGAGCTGCTCTCCCAGCTTCCTTATGTGACCTGCGGCAAGTCACTTAGGGGGTCGCCTAGAGCCCCCTCCGTATACCAGACCCCCCTGGTTGGGTGTCATAAGTTCAGAAGGTGATTCGGAGGAGAGACCGAGACCGCCGGGCGTGCAGGGCTCCTTCCGCGGAGGTCACGACGGCGGCAGTAAATCACAACGCACAGAGAAGGCAGGTGTCCTGAGGAGGACAACCTATAGCCCAGTGGGGATCATCTCCCCTAATATCAGTTGCTTAAAAATTAGGGGCACGGTCTGCGCAGGCAGCGGAGAGAAGGGAAAGCGGACTCCAGGCAGCAGTTCGTCCCTGTAGTCCTAGATGGCTGTCGGATGGATGCGGCATGATTTGGGTATGTGCAGGGCTCGTGTATCTCCACTGGCTATAGGAGGAGGCTGGATGTTAATTTAGACCAAGTGCTTTGCTTGTAAAAAGCCAACGCTGAGGGAGATTAATCCTTTCTGCCTCACATCCCTATCCTTAAAACCCGAGGTCATATTCTTCTGCTCCTTGTGAGGAGGTCGTGAGCACCTGGAGGTTGGGCAGCGCTCGGATGCAGGGAGAGGGCAGGGAAGAGCTGCGCAGGGTTAGCCGTACGGCGCCCGGGGCGGGAGAAGCGCACCCTGCGCGCGGCAGCAGAGCCTGAGCCTCTG